TAAACGGAAAAGTTTATGATTGGAGCCCATCCTGAGGTCGCAGAGACATTTGACACCAAATACAATCAGCATCACTGATGACTTCATCTTGTATACATAGCACATTCATCCTACCAACCTACAACGGGAATAGGCACTTATCCCTGCGACAATACACACCTCACAATTATCTTTCCATCTAGCGAGTCTATATAATCTTTTCACAGCTATACGTCAATTCCCATGTGTGGGGTAGTAGATACGCTCTGCACTAGGATGAAACGATTGTCGGGTGTTCCCAGGTTTTCAATGGTTGTCTAACTTATATTGTTTCATGATTTAAATGAAATTCAACAATCTGCACAACCTCATATTGATAACCGGTATGCTGCTCAGCAGTTCGTTGTTTTATTTTATAGCAGTGAAAAATGAACACTAAGAATATAGGATATTCGTAAACTATTAACATTTGTTAATAGGTGTTTTTGTAACATTGCCTATGTATGTTGAAACCAGAGTTAGCAATGCTCAGGTTAGGGATGGTGTACTAGGTAAAGATGGAAAATTGGTTGACAGGTAGTGCATGTTCATCGACTAAAGTGATGAATTCATGAAATACGTATGCACAACCACGGGTTACCTTGATTAGCAATGTTTGCTTGTGCAAGAGTAAGTTAGAAGAAAGCTGAATGTGGTTAAACCAAGATATGGCATCAGTCCATATAGTCATCGATAGTTTGATTAAGCCATATTAATACTTAGTTGGGGTCTGTATGGTTTTTGACATTAGATAACATGGTTCAGAACCGTTGTCAATGAGGGAGATACGCTCACTCTTGGTTTTCTTTTAGACTTTGATTTCAGGAACTCCTTATACCTTTTTTCTTCCTTCTGGGCTTACTACTTTCTACTACTATTGATTTTGTTGCAACTTTTAATAGTTTTACCTCATTGTGTTAATGGAGTGTGACAACTCTAACTGATGCATATATATACCAAGTTCTACGGTGCATATGACTGACTGCCTGACTATCTTAAAGATTCAATATACGATTTATTGCTTAGAATTTGTGATATGCGTTTTCAATGAATATATAAGACTGTCAGTCATCAACTATGTAACTCGGTTTATTTACTTCTGAATTCTAACCTAATTTTATATTTTTAAATATATGAACACATTGTAATATATTGTCTTATTTTTAAGAAGAGGGATATCACTTTGAGTCAATGGTTCATGAATATAATTATTTCTAACTTCCATTTTTGTGATTATAATTGAAAGTATCTTACTACTTGTATATTATTAAACTCGAAGAGTAGCTATCAGTGGAAATGAGTACTGAGGTGTTGTCCTATTTCGGACTCGTCAGTTGAATGTACGTGCGTCTCATTGTTGACGTCCCCACTAGGATTCAACCCCAGTACATACTGTCTAATTTGAACAAAAATCTGAGGCTAAGTAGTAATATGAAAGCATACCGCTCAGGATTTTCATCAATCAGTAGAAACTATCAACTACCTGTATATTGTTTGCGTAAAAGCATCTACAGTTTTTATGAGTACGTATACAATTTGTTAGGATAGTTAGTAGACAGTAATGTTTTGTTTAATGACGTATAATTAATTGAAGAAAGGTTTTGGCATTATTTTTTAAATATTCACTTCCATATGTGTATTACACAGTAAAGGATTCATTTCATTTAAGGAAGATCTTACTTGTGAAACTGTCTAGAAATCAATTCGAAAGATAGAATGCGGCAAATGTTCATATAATCTACTGTAGACACCCTGTTATATCCTTGCATGAGAAAGATAAGTTTTCACTACTGACCAGTTTAATGTACGTATACACCGACATGTTAAGAATATTATTTAACCTAAATTTCAATATAACACATTTTTTACTTTTCAGAATAGATTGTGCGAGTCATTCAACTATTATTTCATCTCCTAAATCACGAACTAAATTTAGTTGGAGAACCATTGAAAGTCAGGAAGCACTAGAAAGCTGTTTCTTCCTAGTATGAGGTCCCCCAACAGCGTCCATCAATGACACGGTTGAAGATTAAACCCGAGATCTTCAAATCATGAGGCATGAGGTTAACCTTTGAATCCTGAGTCGAAATACAATTGTTTGCCTTTTTGACTTCGATCAATTAGTAGTATCGTTGAATGCCTTTGGTGAATAACTGCCTAATTCCAATATAGTTGAATTCCAGTGGTCAAAACTCTCACTCAAAATCCGGTAATTAGCTCTCAAAATTAATCACCAGTGTACACATAATGTTAATAACGAAACTGAACGAAGTCTAAAAACTCAAACTAATATTTCTAATTGTATTTCTTCAACAAAATCCAGTTGATTATGTAATTCTACTACTATTACGATGATTTGCTTAACAAATCAATATGATGTTGACCAAGTTTCAATTTTTGCTGATACGAAAAATTACGAGTATAGTATAAAATTTAAATCGACCAAGGGTGACAACATAACGAACAGAAAGTGTGGTGGAAAACGCTACATTTTACATGTTGTTCTTTATATAACCTAATCAAGGGATTTTTCATCAAAGACCATAATCAATATAATCAAAGTTATATCTAATGATATTCAATTATATTTCAACACTGATTAACTCGCTTCTAGTGTTTGGTCAATCTAACGATGAAAAGGAAGAAAAAAACTCAGCCGAAGCCGTACTGTCAAAGTGTCAGGTAAATATATTCAAAATTCATGCATATTAAGATACAGGCATCGACTTTGGCTAGATGTATAACCTACTGGCTTAGAATAGATGAGCTTTATTTGGATCTCGCTTATTATATTGTAGTGTTGGCTACTTATATCCACATAAGTAGTATATAATCATGGTCGGGCATTGAATGTATTTCGGTAGATCGATAACGAAAGAACGGAAACGAAACGCACTTGGTATGAAAATGCATGAACAATAATAATCGGAGACTATGGACTGATATTTGCAGAAGGAACGGTCAAGATTAAGACAATTGATTGATAGTTTGCAAATCAACTGTTTACTGTATGGTTGTCAGATTTTAGTGAAATATTCTGTAATTTTGCGCTCTAATACATTCGATTGTCCCCACTCTAGTTTTTGTTCACTACAATATGACCTTAAAATATTGTGTGTTCCTGGCTTACCTTGACATACCAAAGATATTACATTCATAGAAATCATTCATGATTTCAAAGTGATCAATGAAATTACGTTCTACAACAGCATTTCATGTTATGTTCCTGGAATTCATTGTATACTACATGTTTGCTTATTTTATCAATAAATAAGACGGCGAGACTATAATTTATGGACGAGCCAATCAGAAGGGTTTAAGGAATTTCAAAGTCACAGAGCCCATTTCAGTACCTGATGCACATGTACAATCGGTTCACAGAGGAATTTAGAGAAAACGTGACAATTAAGCGGCTACAATAAATAGGACTACTAAGTTCTTTTCTTTATAAATGCGGTAATCAATTGACTTATAGACCTTGCGAAGACTACCCTGATGATGTTATCTTTCGATGTAATATATGTTAGAAGAAGAAGTCTGATAGAATGGGAACTTTTTTCTCTCGATCCAGATTGAGACTAAAGCAAATTATAATAATTGCTGTGAACTGTATAATAAAGGCATCACTATTATTGGCTGCAATATTCGCAGATGTTACTGAAGCTTCAGGTGTTAAGAGGTATGAGTGTTGTAGGGATATATGCGTAATAAAAATGACAAACTCACACAACAGGAGTTCATGCAAAATGTTGAAGCTATGTGGTCGAGGTTGAGAGAGTTTTTGTGACCTTATCATGGCTCCAGAGACCGAGTATTATGGAGCCAAATTGATGAGTTCCTCTTCCTAATGCGTTACATTTTTAAAACCTTTGAACCTCTTTCTAACCTTCAGAAATTTTTGGATCATGTAAAAAAAAGTGTACTCACTCTAATTCTTTGGTGTTGTATAATGTATTTTTACTCTATACTAACTGGCGTCTGATTGGCTAGTATTTCTCAAGGTCATTCAAGATTCCTAGTTTAAAGCGTGAGTAAATCGAAGCTAGACCATCATGGAAAACCTGGAAACACTGGACGGTCGTTTCGTCCTATTATGGGACTCTTCAGCAGTGCGGGTTCGTGGATGCGCACTGCTGAGGAGTCCCATAATAGGACGAAACGACCGTCCAGTGTTTCCAGGTTTTCCATGGTGGTCTAGCTTCAATTTACTCACGCTTTAAACTATGAAATATATTAAATCTCCACAAAAACCCCTCATTCAAGATTCGTTCAAAGGTCGTCCATAAATTATAGTCTCGCCAATAAGACTGTCCCTACTAGATTAGCAATTAAGTTAGACTGAAATTCACTTCTAAATTAGTTGGATTGATTGTAAATAACGAATGTGGTTTATTTAATAAAAAATATATCTTGTAAATTAAAAAAATTAGTGTGTTCCATGTAATATGAAGCATAGGAACTTGTACATAAACTATGTAATAAGACAATAGGTTCATGCGGTAAATGTACATCAGTACGTCATTATTATAGAAAACACAACAACTTGACACAATATTTAATGATAATCCAATGTAAACTACTAGTATTATTTCTCCATTTTCTTTCGAATATATCTCACATATACCTTGTGTTGTATCCTGTGGGGAATAATGAATGGTAACTTTTGAGGACTATTTATGGACCAATGTAATATGTATATTCATATTCATGTTCCTCTTATTATAAGCTTTATTTTGACCTATAGACTATTATTATACGATTTACCATTCCTGAGTTATCCCCAGTCTATTGATTACTGTTCCCCCTATTCACAGCCACATTGGGCTAAATCTTGTACAAATATTATTTTCTATTTTATGGTACGATGTGGTCTGTTTGATTGGTATATAAACCCAGTATGTTTGTGAATAATGATTCATATTGCAGAGGCTGTTATTGGTGTTCTGGACTTAACTGGCTGGGCTAGGCAGATAGCAGGACTGATAAGTACTCAAGACTGCTCATACAGCTTTTGTGTATCATCGGGCGGCCAATAAATTCACTGCTCTCTCGTTGGTGGGAATCATCACGTTCACATATCAAATAGGGCGCACGCACGCACACGTTATAACACCTTGTAGAAAATAAACATAGATAAGAACAGTTAGGTTTTCTTATGGTTAACATACTTTTTTCATATTTCAGAAATTATACAAAGCTGGGCAATTAACCCTTGTGTATACACCATCTGTATAAAACAACACAACAACAACAACAAAAAAACGGTGAACATCGAGAAAAAAAGTCGTTCTCTGTTCTTTAAAGAAAAATTTAGAAAATAGAGAGAAAATTTCTTATTCAAATAATAATTACATCTAATATGATTGTAAGTTTTAAAGGAAAAAAAATAAATGGAAGAATATTTTATTTTCCTACAATAAAGAAACACCAAGAATTGGAATGCAGATTATAAACATTTAAAGATGGAAAAAAGAGAGATTGGTGATAGTTTTATCGTAATTAAGATCACATAAATATCATCATTAGAAAATTGTTTTCATCGAATAATCATAACAACAGTAATAGTAATAATAATTATTATTATATAAAATGATTTCCCTCCCCCCTCACAATATAAGCATGTAATTAAGAAGCAAGCTGAGAATATGCATAAATGTTACTGTAGAAACCGGATAAAGTGATATATATATACTTTTTAAGATAGATTCTTAAGTATTATGAAAAATATCTTTTATGAAATCTTTCATAAGAAATGATATACAGATGTATTAATTATTGCATCATTATGTGCCTATAGAATGATAAAATGTTAGTTGAATGACAACAATTGATAATTAGATTTTACAAACTAATGTGTATCGGATATTGGAACAGTGAAATGATTTTTTAACAAGAATAACTTAGAAATAAAATACAGAGTGAGTTTGCATAAACTACTATACATACTTGGTGTAAGGATACCAGAACTATTTTAATTCTAAAGAAATCCTTGCAATGTTGTAAACGAAAATTCTAAATTGCATCTACGAATCAAGTGATCAGAAGTGGCAGTTGCATGGCGGTATATTTTTTTTAGTTATTTTAGAAGATAAATTTTATTCTTCATTAAAATAACTATTAGAGATTGCACTTTGACTTGAAATGTTTAAATAAGTTCTGTCAATGACATAAAAGTATATTATCTAGGACTGATTATATAACTCATTACGATAATCCAGAAAAAAAAGAATTTCAAAATTATAGCTTTAGTAATGTGTGATTAATACTTGTAACAGTTGGGAAATTTTGGTTGAAGTTATATGCAACTACCCTAAAATGAATATGTCGGTGAAGTCCAGGCCGAAATCTCAGATGAGAAACACGAAATGGATATTACATGCTAATATCTATCGCTCGCCTATTAAAATGGACGGGAAAATAGCAGAAAGTACTGGTTGTGATACACTTGATGAATATTGAAAAAGTTGAGGTCTGATGTATCCTCACCTTAATTCATGCAGTCGGATCTAAAAAGCAAGACATATTTTTCGGAAATGAAATGTGATAGTCTGAGTTGGTCAGATATATCAACTCACGATCAAATGATGAGAGCTGTTAATAAGTGCACGCTATTGGTTAAGATTTAGCTGAATTATCCGGGGTTGACAGATATACCATATTGACTCGAACTTTAACTCAATTTTCTATAATAATGAATAAGTGTGTGTATATATTTCCATTCGGGTTAGTCACCAAAAGCTTTCTATCCGTGCTTGATTTCCTCATTCAAATATCTGACTATACTCTTATATCAAAATCATACACATCAAAATTAAATTACAACGACCGCTCAACAAAAAAGAGATGATCTCGACCCAAAGTTTCGACTGCATTCTACATTTATATACCATTATAAAAAAAGCATTATTCGAAATAATGATGAAAATATTGAAAAACCTCAACGATACCGAGTAAAAATGCTGAAATGTCGGTGGAAAAAAGTGATAATGAAAAGAAAAAAAAGACATTTGATAAATGAATGAATGTTTAGTATGGTAGGAAAAAATTATTTTTTTAAGAAATTAGTCTACAATATGTGATACCTCTTGTCAACATTTAACAATAATAAATGAAATTCATTGTTATTAAGAAGAAAAAAATTTATCAGAATATTTAAATGGTAAATACAATGACATTGACAACAATAACAAACACTTAAAGTACACAATTGTTGAAAGACTTAAAGATGGAATTAGTGATCTGAACTGATCGTCCATAAACAAAATACACAAAATATACAGAGTGTGTAATGTTGTATGAAAAAATTCAATTGTTTTCCTACTTGTTTGTTGTATTTTCTGGTAAATTTTTATCTCAGATGAGAAAAAGCGTTCTTCTGAATGAAAGTTTTACTCAATACAATATATAAGTCGTTATTTAATAAATAAGCGGGTTGATTATGATGGAATATAAAATAATTGTGTTTCAACTCAGCAAATGATGTGAGTGGTTCATATTCTTTGAATCTATTTGATGACAAGATAGTAGTAGTATGACAAGGTTTAACATCTAAATAAAATGAAGCTCAACATCTTACGGTAGGAGTACTTATCAATTAAAAAAATTTAAAAACAAAAACAGAATAATTCAATGTTTTAGAGATAATCAAAAATGGAATTATGATATTAATCTGTTGAACCGGGTTGTAATGGAAATAAATATGTCATGATAAACATACAAATATCTGCATTAGTCCAATAGCTAGTATGTGAAGTCAATAGAGAAATGTACATATTTTCATAACGTGATGCTTGTAATTGAAAATCTAATCGACATTCAAGTTGTAATGGATCATGACAACATAAATCATTCTCCAATAAATCAGTAGATGATAATGATGAAGTAAGAGAATCTTTTGTTTTTTGCTCTTTTTTATTTGTAGAATTACAAAATTCAGAACATTTCTCCATAGAATTAATCTTCTCATCATTGTCATGGTTATATATTTTTTCGGAAAGATTAAGATCAATCCCTCCTGTTTCTTGACTTCCACCAGGTAGATATGGTGCTCGTGAGAAGAAACCAAATAGTCGACCTATTTTAATATACGTAAAAAAGGTAAATTAAGAGTGAAAATTGATAATTTGAAGGCTCCATATGTTCATATTTAAAATAAAAAATAATAGGAGGGAAAAGAGACCATAGTTTACTATTAAATAGGTTTGAGTTATCCCGTTGTTGATATTTTTGGCTCGATTTTATTCGGTTTTGGTTAGCATACGTTCATTATCAGCGGATTACTTCAATATAACTGTTTATACAAGTTTCATAGAATATATAAGTCGCGAATGGGACTAAATGTGCTTCGTGAGTTCCATTACTAGCCATAATACACTTATTTAAGTTTTATTTTTAGATTCATATAGAATGTAAATCTTCCGAATGAAATACGCAAGAACTATGTACATTATATTCACGAAGTTGGAACATACAGAGATCAAACTAGTAGTCTATATTGTTACCATAAGACACCTTAAAATTCTCGTATTAGGCGACAATTAGGATAGAATAATGTAAATGATTAAATTTGTGGGTCTACTGTACGCAAACAGTTTATTGTTTGTCAAAAAATCAGCACTATTCTGTCTCCTCTATTGTTGGTGAAGATAAGTCTATTCGAATTGGATACAATATACATTGGTTGTTTTTAAGAGTGCCTCAAAAACAATAAAATTTATGACATGGACAGTTGCTAGAAAATTGTATCGACTTATGAACCAACTCCCTATATTGAAACCCAGCGACTTAGAGAAACATCTTGGCATAAGATAAGAACTCCAGCATAAAAGTACGATATCTAAGCACAAAGAGAAATTATGAGTGACTAGAAAAAAGAAGTTATAGAGTATATTTCAGCTGGTACCCAGTGAAAGATTTTGTATCCGTTTCGTTGTGTAATAATGGATGAATGTGTGGGGTGACAAGATAAATATTTTTTCACTCGACTTCTAGTGTTGTTGAGATGTTGGACGTGAAATAAAAGATCCTATGCAGTCACTTATGCCAAAATGAGGTCCTAGGAATGATTGACAAGTATGTTCTGTTGGTATTTATGGGCACATCAAAACTTTCTAGATTAGATTCTGGAATTTACACAATTTTGTGGATTGAAAATCTGTCAGTGGAAATCATTTAGTAGTTTTTTTTCATGTTCTGCATAAGTAGGATGTATCTGAGTGATATTAGCGCCTTTCCACTCGTTATTGGTAGGCCAGAAAGTCAGTATGGTTAGCATTTGATTTACTTACTTATGCCTGTTACTCCCAATGGAGCATAGGCCACCGACCGGCATTCGCCAACCCACTCTGTCCAGGACCTTCCTTTCTAGTTCTATTCTACTTTTGTTCATTTTTCTCATGTCTGTCTCCATTTCTCGGCGTAATGTGTTCTTTGATCTTCGGCTTCTCCTTCAGCCTTGAGGATTTCAAGTGAGAGCTTGTCTTGTAGTTGGGTGATTTCCTCAATGTGTGTCCTATCCACTTCCAGTGTTTTTTTCTGATTTCTTCCTCCACTGGAATCTGGTTTGTTCTATCCCACAGTAGAATGTTGCTGATGGTGCCTGGCCAACGGATCCGAAGTATTTCGCGTAGACAACTGTTAGTAAACACCTGTATCTTCTGGATGATGGCTTTCGTTGTTCTCCAGGTTTCCGCCCCATACAGTAGAACTGTCTTGACATTTGTATTGAAAATCCTGATCTTCATTTTGGTTGACAATTGTTTTGAGTTCCAGATGTTCTTCAGTTGTAAATGTACTGCTCTTGCTTTGTCGATTTGCGACTTCACATCTGCATCAGATTCACTGTGTTCATCAATGATGCTCCCCAGATATGTAAAGGTTTTCGCATCCTCAAAAGCTTCTCCGTCAAGTGTAAGTCGATTGGTGTATGCTGTATTGTATCGGAGAATCTTGCTTTTCTCTTTGCTTATATTGAGATCTACTGCTTCTGATGCTGCTACTACACTGGTCGTCTTCTCCTGAAGTTAGCATTTGATGCTCAGGTATAATAGATAGCTAACGAACAAGCTTAATCGACGTCAGTTGAAGATAAAACTCATGTACAAAAACTAAACTAGAATTTCAAATTTACCAATGAATTAAATATAAAATCCAAAATTATTCATAGTCTAGTTATTATTTTTCCTTATTAACTTACTAGCAATTGATAAAGGTCTAGAGGAATCTGCCTCTTGCGTGGTTATAAGTTGATTTGTATCTGAGCAAGGGTTTATCACTCGCTGATGATAAGACAAAAACAATCAGTAATGTAAAAAAGATGCAAAACGTTTTAAACAAAATGTTTTACAAAGTGTAAGAGGAGATTTAAAATATACGAATTAAATATGAAACCAGTTACAATGACTATGATGAAGTCATGAGATGTTTAGTAATTCTCATATTATTCTAGTTGTATTTGTGACAGATTAATTTTAGTTGAGATACTACTGAAGACCAAGGAGAAATGGATAGCTGTTTTACTTCAGTATGAAGCTCCTGAGCTGTGAGCAAACACAACCCAACCTAGAACCTCCAGGTCTTACAGAGAACGTTTAGCCATTAAGATCACTGTGGTTAGCACCCAATAGTAAAATTTCAACCTCAATCAACTTGCAATATAGCGTGCTGATCATTTGATATCATTACAAACAAATTTTTACTTCAAACACGTTTGAACTCCATTAGTTGAGTCTTTTCATTGGAATTTCAGTAATACCTTGAATTAAATCATATGTGGGCTGACTATTACAGTTTAGTTGAGTCTTGTGGAGATTGGTTTAGTTAGTAGGTTGTATTCGTCACAGATTATTCTCAGTTAGAATGTCATTGAAAACCAAAGAGCGCAGTTTCGTTCCAGTATGCGACTCCTCAAGTGTGTATTTCTAATATTACTTGGGTATGCAATTTACTTCATACAATTATTTTCTTTTTAGTCAAACGTGAAAACACGTGCTATTTATAGTAAAAGTTTGAACCCTTTGTTATTTTACCAGTTTTTTTCCAATATGTTGCAAAATGTTGAGTAAATGTATAAATAATCAATATATAAAAAGTAGATATTGACTTTCTACATAAATATCGAGCTAGAACACATCTGGATAAGAGGTGTAGTGACAGTTGGAACAGATTTCGGAAGACATTAATAAATTAGAGTTATTACGTGAGCATAAATAGTATATTTGTAAAGTTCAGCAACTTTTGGAGGTTAGACTATTTATTGTGGATGTTAGAGAATACTAAATGTGACTGATATTTCTAGTCAAAGTGATCTACGATTTGCCAAGAATTAATGACAAACATATCCGGTTACATTAAACATAAAACGTTATATTGTAGAATTTATTCTATACTAATTCCTCTAACTGATTACTTTGTACTTTATGTCAATATACTCGTTCGGTTGTAATATCTATCTCTCTATCGAACAGTCGGATTTCAGTGACTGTGCCATCGAATTTCTAAAAAAAGACAATTTCCGTTATAACAATAACAAACAAAGAATATTGGATTCATATAGGAATTTGCATAGACGTATAATTGTTATGCAATCAATTAACCAATCAATTAGTCAGTGAATACTTGGTAACAATCATTACTGACTTACACAGTTGTGTGGTTTTGGATGTTTGAATTCTTTACCAGAATATTCAAGCAAAGGAAGTGTGTCATAGCATGGTTTGGAAGCAGCATCAACTCGATGAATCAGAGCTGGTTGGATAGTGGAATAATATTTTAAAATTAATGGTTCTAAACGATAAGCCTTAAATAAGTGTGAAATGAAAGAGATAAATGGAAAGATTTATAAAGTCTTAAAATCTATTTTATAAAATTATTAGACAGAAAAATCACTGACGATACATACCTGTTATTTTTAGTTTAATTATGGAGTTTAACATGTCTCTTAAACGACGAAGCATATTGTTACATAGTTAAATACAAATACATATAAATTGGAAATGATTGAAGTTTGGATCACTATTGCAAATAACTTCACTTTTATTCTAACTGAATTCATCTTCAAAAATGATACTTATATACGTGTATGGAGTGAATATAGCAGGTTTAGTAGGTAAACTAAATAAATGCAAATACAGTTATAGACTTAGTAGTCTAAAGGTTAAGTGTCAGCTGCGAAACCTTAAGGTCCTTCGTTTGATTCCTGGTGGGCTGATGAGTATGAACTTCTAAAGAGTACTGCACTAGAACGAAACAACTGTCCAGTACCTACTGGCTCTTAATGGTTGTCTAACTGATAATGTTTCGTGGTGTAAGCTATTAAATACTTGCTGATATCTGCAAGCCTTCTTCTGATAAACCACACTATAGTTGCATGAACATAACAATATCTACATAGTTTATTTTTTTTAAAACAGATAGAGGTGAAATACAGATTTTTTGCATGACAAATGAACAGTTTGATCAGACAGTATAAGCAATGGAAAGTACTGATAAGCTTTTGCACTCGAACGCTTAGACACTTACCTCCAAGTCCCCTGAAATCTTCTACTCTCTAACTCCAAGAACAACAAACAGATGCGAGATATGAAATGAGCTTTACTTCCAAGATTGGTTTGTTTATAAAATGCAGAGGTAATCATAGTGTGCAACCTTGAAATTCTAGAAGCTTCCAGAAACATGCTCAAATAAGTAAGAAAATCGGTTATCATCCAGCGAGCAGATAATGATAACCTAATCCACCGTTTCCTAGAGGACGCTGATTCGCCGAAGTCTCTCTAGAATTTCCCCGCCTTCTGAAGACGTTCTTGAGAAATTATAAAAAAGACCTTTAACAAAAATCAATGTACTACATACTATGGCGGGGGACTTTCGAATTATTTTTATTTTAGGAGTACATTGTTAAAATAACTAGTGTACATACAAATATTTGGCTTTCATTATAGCACAAGATAGTGAACATATACATTTTAATTATACATAACGTTTTTTTTGAATACTTCTAAGAAAACGCAACTTATAGTATTAGAAACAAATATTACTTACTACAGGATCTGCTGGGTGGTAAATGTTAAAAATCCGTCGACAAATTTTTCGAGGAAGAATTGAGTCTTGAGTTTGAAAAGGACCAGGGCGGATACCACGCAAAACCAAGTACACGCCCAAAGGTGAACCCAAGCAGAAAAGGTTTTCTAGCTATAGAATAGTATATACAAGGATTAGGTAATGTGTGTTGAAAAACTATCCGGTTGGAAAATGAGCATGTAAAGAGAAATAACACTGATAATCGCATGGGGTATGAAACAACTGTTTTGTCTTAGTTTAAGACTTACCAGCATCGTCTATTTGGGAGCTTATAAAGAATCGAGACTGGGGATAAAGGTTTTGCTATATTATAAACTGATTGAGTACAAAAATACAAATCACTGAACTTCATCATAGTGATCTGAAAGGTATCGAGTATTCAAAGGTTTAACCCCGTGTGCAGTGGTGAATTCGTTTGGGTGAGAAGTACCTAGAATGCACCGTTATGATGATGAAACGTCATAACTTTAATTAATCACAGGGTATTCATAGCACAACAACAACATACTGAAATAAATTGTCATGAATAAAACTCTTTTCACGAGTCATTCTACGGATTCTTTGAAATCTAGGTTAATGCCCTTTTAATGCTGGATAACAGTTCTAGTTGTCAGTGTCTAGACCTAATAAGTACATGCAAGTTTCTGTTGGTTTATTTCAATATGCAATAAATTGATAAAAAATAACAAGTAAAACACGAATAGGACTGACGAATAAAAAAGATTTTGATCTTTTAGTCAACATGAAAAATTATGTCATGTAAAAAGATAATCAGAAATAATGAAGTAATGAGAGATTTAATATCACCACAGCTTATTGTTGTTGGAAATTTATCAGCTTTAAATTATTTTGTAGCTCAAGCTTTATGGAATCTAATAATGTTGTTTTACAACTACTACGAATAGAAGAAACTTAGTGTCATGATAACTCATCGAGCTACCAACATCGGGACCATAAACAAGTGAACTCGTTACAAACAGATAGACCTTGCTAATTTAACAGGTCTTTTAATCGATAATACTGAGTTATCAAATAATGGAAAAGATAAAACATTAAATTGAATAATGTTCTAAAAACATGAGTATAATAAAACGCTATTTCAGAGAAAACAAAACTGCACACACTCAGACGATACATTCCATTATCAACAGAAAGACGATGAATAATAATTGAAAGTCAGAGAAGAAATCCGACTTAAGGATCCTCGAAAGGTAGTGTAGTTATTAGAGAGATTACGGTGTAGCCGTTCAGACACAACCAATGTCATATATGTATATTATCGTAAACATTGTAGACAGTAAAGCAAACATAGTGAAACTTACATTATCCGCAAACAATAAAGGATTCTGTTGGTGTAATGAAGAGTTTGGGTAATATACTGAAGGTTTACTATATACCGACTGGTCGTTCTGATGATTAATACTAACATTTGACTTCTGAGAATCACAATTCATGTGACTGTCACGAGTAAATAGCAAGCTGCTTAATTCCTGTTCTAAATTATTCACTCTGTATAATATGTTTTTGAAAAAAAATTAAAAAAACGTTGATGACATTTTAGCACATAACAGATGGAGAACATTTTAATGAAATACACAGGTTTTATCAGAATGATTTTCAATGTCCAAAACTTACACCAAAACTAACAGTTATGGACGACAGTGGATGTGTACTGATGAAGAGTCCCATGCCAGGACGAAACGGCCATCTAGTGCTCCCAGTTTTTAACTGGTGTTCTAACTTAGATCCGTTCATGACATGCAACAATCTCTGCAACTCCATATTGAAAATAGTATATAAATTAAAAATTTACTGTCATATAAGGGCAAATAAGTATTAACCAACTATCGCGTATAGTTAGTCTCCAGATACAAAAAAGGGAATTCGGTTGAACAGATGATGACCAATGGTAGGTTCTAAAAGTTTAATGGGTTTATTTTAGAATAAAAGTGTACAAAATTATCCATTTCCAAACAGAGGCTAAACTCTGATAATATTATAGTTAAAAAGTCTTCAAATAACTTCTTTATTAAGTTAGAACAACTGTGAGAAACTGTGGCAAGTTATCCATCGGTCCAAGTTACCATAATTTAAATTCAATAAGACTAACAAGATAAAATGGAAGTAAACAGAGGCAATAATGGATGTGTTGTTCTCAGTAAGCCATGTTCGGCTAATGATCAGCTAAATTAAATATGGGAGACTATCTTATAGATAAAACTGACTTTGATTTGTCCTACTTCGATCCCGATTGTTGATTTCTTCGTATTATGTATCATTAAAGTCTTATTCTGACCTATATCTGGCTATCGATTGCTGGTAGGACAATTGTATAACTGTGAATATCGCATGATTAAGTATTATGCCTATTATTCAGTCTAGTTTTACCGATCTAATTATCGAGGGATGTAGTGTCCGGTGTATTAACTATATCGTCACTAACCGTAGCTCATAAACTTACTTCTATGCTAACCAATACAGCACGTAGGAGTAGGGTTTTGTTAATTATCTATCTTTTTACGGACTGCTATCATCTACAACTGACAATCAGTAAACAATTAAAAAGTGAATTTTAAAATTCAACAGTTGGTTAAACTTTCATGAAGCTGAAAACTAGAAAAAGGAAAAAGAAATCTCTAATCCAAGGTTATATTTTTAGTTAAAGTATTCATTATTTATTTAGACATGTGAATTCCTCGCTTAATTGAAAAAAACCATGCTAATGTGCAAGGAAATTTCCATAAATTTGCCGGAATTAAATATTTCATAAGATCAGGATTGATTTCCCTAGTGAATGAAAAATCTGTTTGAGGTTGTTGTTGTTGTGTACAATGTTCGAAAACATGAAATTCTTCACAGTAAATAGTTAAGATGCCAGCATTGCGACCGTACTATAATTTTTTTGGAAAAATAACCAGCGATTTCTTATACGGTATTTATTATACACTGAAATTCTCATTCCTCAGTAAACTGAGGAAAGTTAACTCGTTAAATACATCAAACCAAGAATCTAAGACAAGCACTTACAATGTCCTTGCAGTTTCCAACCGAATATTAACACGGGCAATTTGTTCCAAGTTTCCATTAGACGATAGTCTATGGTCAGGATATAGCACATCCAAGTTATTGTTTGATAAAGTCTGAGAATAAGTACAAGAAACAAAACAAATGACCTACGTATGATCAAGTTTCATCTTTTTTTGTTTAGTGGTTGAAAAGCTTTGATTTATTTAGTCATGAAAGTTTAGGAGTTACAAAAGACAAATAACTTGAATGTATCCTGTTACTAAGATGGAGAAAAATACGGTAGAATCTATTAGTCATAACCAATGTAGGACCTAAAGAGAACATCCATTAGTCTAAGCTGTAACAACTCCGTATGAAACCTGTCTGGGGCCCGGGTAAAAAATATGGATGGACGTGGGGTTAGCAAACTGACCTTTAAAAATCCCGCTACAGAATCGCTAACCAGAGAAAACCGAATAATCTCTGGCTTGTGAGAAGAGTCTCCATACAAAAGAGTTGTGACACCTTATGGTTAAAGCCAGGAGCCGTCAGAAGACACAAGGCTGACGCTTTTCCTAACAACCACGGCAAAGATAAATGTAAGGATATGGAATGTCCAAACAATTTAAGAGACCAGGAGATTCACTCAAATAGGCACAGGAATGGAACAAGACCTAGTCCTGTTCGGAAAAAGTGAGAACCACCAAACACGATCTGCACAGAAAACACTAACTTTGGAATAGCTATTGTTGTATTCTGGTCATAAAAAAGGAAATGCCTTCCACATACAAGGAGTTGCGCTGATGTTGTTCAAGAAAGTACGAAAAGTACTTATATGTTAAAAAAAACTCAAGATGTTTACAAACTTAAGGAATTCAAGATAGCTCTCAGCAACAAGTTCCAACCTTACTAGAAGAGGAAACCACCATGGAGAACAATTAAGGCGAAGTTAAAAAACCAATAACTTCAACATGCCAGGAAGTGCTGAACTAAAAAGCACCAACAAAAGGAACAGCACGGGGTAAGGTTCAAGAAAGGAAAAACAAGAAGATATCAGTTAGCGACAGTCGAATAAAAGCAGGGAAATCCAAGGCACAAGATGGACAGAGAGAAACGTTTGCCCAGCCATAGTTTTTTGTCCAGTCTACTTCTAATGTCCGCTGCCACTGTAATAAGGATGAGAAGTAGTCAGACACACGTATTACGTGTCCTAACAACATGAGTGGATGGAATTTTATATACTTCTTAATGTACATACCTTTTCTACCAAAAACCACATACCTGATTCCGACACTACTCACTCTATGGTTTTATTATATGGGAGCAATGCTTCGAAGATGCTTGTAACCAAATACTAGCAAACTGAGCATGTGTTCTACTTTCATAAGTTATATTCAACAACAGTGTGATACGGAGAAAACTGGTCTGCTTGGTTTGAATTAGGAGTATGGTTTGAAAAGGCAGAAAGAAAAGATTTGTATTGAGGGGTATTGGGGCTTAAGATCTAGAGAGAAATAAAGGATGAATGTATCTGGGCTATTGCAACTAGTTCGGCACTGCTACCTGTCTACAACCATTAACCGAGGTTATTTTACGACCAACCAGCTAGTCTGAATACAATAACATGGATCAGACCAGTAATCAATGACTCCATGGACTGATGTCAAGTTTTGGTTTGGCCGCCACTAGCTTTCTTCTGACCTTCTCCATCACCATCCAACATGTCGAGGAAGGCAACGGTTCCGGATAAGTAATACGTGTCCTATCCATTTCAGTTGATGAGGATTCACAGTATGATCAGTCGATTCGCTATCTTTGGGTAATACTACCCTGTGTCTAACTTCAATATTGCTCGTTTGGTTGTCCTAACAAGCTCGAGCTATTCTTCAATGATACTTATGAACAAATACTTGCAGTTTTCGAAGGTGATATTAAAAAAAATTGGAACTCAAATGTAGTTGCAACTACAGACCTATAATAACAACGTTTTATGGTTCATACAATATGAGATTCACCATATTAGTAATGGAGTGAAAATGACAAAATAAGGATGTTGAGTATAGCTCACCTTATCCGTAATATCTGACAATTTTGTGGAAGCAGAGTTGGAAAATATTTTTTTATCAGTTGATTTATTCAATAAGATTTCAGTTAATGGATCATTATCAGGGACTTGATTCCAACCAGTAATTAGATCGTAAACTAGGACGCACCCAAGAGAATGGGCAATTATCGAAACTTTTCCACCTCGAGATTCGAAATTAGGATTCAACCGACGAAACATATCATATAATCTATTGAGTTCACTTTTTAAACTGCAAATAATTTCAGCTCGATACAAAGGACTAGTATAATACATAATATCCATAGCAGAACTATTCAGAACTGTACGAAATCCTCGAAGATGAACAGGAGTGATTGATTCAACTGTATCACCATCTAACTGTAAAACAGTTCGCCATTCAACGGGTAAAAATTCTACACGTTTATTTTCTTTATCCAAATGTGAAAAGTAACGACTTTTTATTTTATCACAAGTATCACGAAGCCTTTACAATACAAGAATGATAGTAAGTTAAATAAAATAAATGTTACACCCAAATGTAGAAAATACATTTATTTGTATAAACCAAAGCTTGTCATTCAGATATCACCTCTAAATCAATGAATCCGGATAGAAAATAGTCAAACGCCACACAACTTGTGACCATAAATACGTAAACAAAACTGCACACAGTCATGTTGAAGTTTTAAAAATATTATATTAACTACGAAGTTGATCAATATGAAACCATGTGAAATTAGATTTGAAACAAATTTTATGTAATAACATCTTAAACTATTAACGTTCAATCCATTCAAGGAATTTATTAACAACTATTTAATCTTAATCTTGATAGTAAAGTGGATTTTTGAATAAACACTCCAACTAACAAGTAGATTGTAATGGATCTTAGATAAAAACTCAAATAGATATCTTGATGATAAAGGGAACATCTAAAACCTTGTTAACAATGCAAATCTTATTGATAGTATAGTTGTAATAGTTAAATAATAATCTTTCATTGATAAGTCGTTCAGATAAAATGATAAATTTAACAGAAAGATAAGTGCAAAGAAGAAGACGTAACTAATCGATGATTGATTAATGGATACAATTAACAGAAAGTAAAGTATTTCATTGACCGAAAAGATATTCGCGCGGAAAACATAATTATTATAATGCTTTCTGATCACTTTGCGTAGCTTTTAAAGGATAAAAATCACCAATACAAAAATTCTTTGAAAATGTAGTAAACAGATTAATTGTGTACAAAGTACACAAGAATAAGAACAGTCAAAAAATAGGCCTAAACGAACTTTTCCACTATGTAATACGCTATTATATTGTGGAAGTATCTTGTACAAGTTACTTTGCCTTTGAATGACATCAGTGTTTTGAGCACTGATATTAACACTTCTTTAAGAATGCTAACAGTATGAAAAATTATAAACATCATATAAACAAATGAACAATAAAGAAAAATACTTATCTCAAACTACAAGACTGCAACTTTAAAATTAAAATACCTTTGTCATGCATCGACCTACATACAGTTAACGAACACAATAATGTCAAACTAATGAAGAATATAAAACTTTATTTGGTCCTTTGTACAAGAGAAATGAGAATAGATTTTAACCGAGAAGGTAGGAAGGAGAGTAGAGTCGATAGCAAAATATTAAACTATCAGAAGATTGAAGAGAGTAGCCACCACCAAGCGTTATACTGTTTCGTTGAAATCACGAACAGGCCGAAGTTAGACCACCGTCAAAAACTTGGATGACCGTTTCGTCCTTGTATGGGACTCCTCAGTATAGCGCATTTGCGATCCCACATGACGTAATTGGAGTCGGGACCTTCGGTCTCGCAAGAGAAAAGTTAACTTCTAGATTACTGGGCCGGTATCCAACAATTCACGAATTCAATGAAATTCAACAATCCCAAAACCTCATACTGACATTATGCTGTTATTTAAATTTATGTGCACCGTAAGCTCCTTTTTAGTCTTAAGTTTTAACAAGATAATGTTAAGTATCGTGAGTTTAACTGTATTGAGCAGCATAATATTATGGGGAGATTACGATAACTAAATTAGTGTAATAAATGATAGTTAGTTATTTTTAAAAAGTTGGACAACTAACAAAAACCTATATCAAACTTACTCATTACAATTGTTTAGAACAAGGTTGGTACCCATTTTTTGGCCGATCCCATGGATAACAAAACAAAGGTGAGAAATATCAGCGATTTTATCCTCTTTCAAGGCCAAATAATTGAAACCACGACACAAACGAGTACCGACTGAAATTCAAGGAATTGAGATATGTATAAATTTCTTTGGGGAAATCATGGCTCATCTAAATAAATCTCAGTGATTTGAGCAAGAAAGTCGTAGTTGTTTTAACAAATGTATTGTAAGAAAATTAAAATTCACGGTCAGAGAAGGATGAAATCATACAGGTGCTTAAGATTTGGACGGCGTTAAAACATATATTGTAAGAGATGCCAACTAAAGTTTTCAGCCATCAAAATTTGAATCAATTATCAGACTCAGGTACAAAGTCACTCTAGTATCTAATATTAGTTGACATAGAGGCATATTAAATAAGGATAGGGGAGACCAGATGTCGACATATGGTCGGTTAATCAAGCCACTGACTGTTGAACTTTGTTATCATAAAGTGTAGATTTCCAGTTTAACATTAGTGAAATAACCGAAATCCCCGTGTGGAAGCAGTAAGTGATGTTTCTGGAAGTGAACCTCAGTGATTCATATATATTTAGCCTTTATCTTTCTCTGTTATAATTCAGTCTTAATCTATTTCAATGGTTTTCATCCCCCAGTTTTACTTGTTCTTTCTGAACGATATTTTTAATTCTTAGTTTTTCAAAATTAGTGATATTACAGCTGTAGGTTCTTTTTATTTGGTTATTTCTAGCCAAACTGATCCCAAGTGTAGTAGCTTGAAATAATGCAGAAATATGTCAAGCCTTAAGTTGCTCATGAGTGATCGACTGAGAGTAGTAAAGCAAAATGGTTGATTTTTTCATAAACTAATATTATATATATATATATATATATTACCAGGAGGTTCACTTATCGACTTAAAATACACAGATGACAAAGTCCTGTTTGGTGAAGGTGACAAAATTCAGAGTCTTCTGTTAGCACCGAGTAACAATGCCAGTATGTTTGGGATGCGCTTATCCTCCTCTTAATGGAAATTGTTGCTTCAGCACTAGTCTGCGTCAAAACCTGAACTAAGGATAGAGAGTGAAGCAGTCGAACGCGTCGACAACTTCAATTATGTTGGAAGTCTAATCAGTCCTATTGAGATGGTGTCTGACGAAATCTCAGCACGGATTCGAAAAGCTCATTTGGCTTTTGCCAACTTACGTCACCTATGGCGAAGACGAGATATCCGTCTATCAATTAAGGAACGAGTATACAACTCAGCAGTCCTCTCTGTTCTACTTTACGGCTATGAAACATGGCCATTAAGAGCAGAAGATACTCGTAAGTTACTAGTATTTGACCACAGATGTCTTAGAAATATTGCTCACATCTGCTGGGATCACTGGGTAAGTAATGGCGAGGTTAGATGCAGAGTATTGGGAAATTATGGTAAATCAGTTGATGAGGTTGTGAATTTTCATCGACTGAGATGGTTGGGCCATGTGTTACGTATGTCTGAACACCGATTACCAAGACGTGCAATGCTGACTAGTATTGGCGATGGTTGGAAGGCAGTTAAGGGCGGCCAAACAGAAACATGGCATCAGTGCTTCGAGTCACTAACTTCTAGTCTATGACATGTTGGTAGGTGTAGACTACTAGTTCGGGGTCTGTGTGATTATCGTAACCAATGTTTGTAGACTCTGTGACATGGCTCAGAATCGATCGCAATAGTGTAGGTGTATACACTTCCTTTCTTCCCTTAAACCGTGAGATTAAAATTGCTTTATATCTGTCTTTCTTCCTGTACTATATCCTTAAATACAACCTTTCTTTTTTATATTACCACAACTAAACTATGAATTCGGTGTTCATTTTGTTGTGCTAATGAGGTATGACAAGTTGGACCGATGCATGTATGTGTCTGGTCCTGCGTTGTAGCTGACTGACTGATCTGAGCTAGTCGTTTTCATAGGGAGTAAAAATGTTAATCTACTGTGAATTATTTGCCAATTATATATTAAAGACCACTCCTTTAGATATTAACCAACTGCTACCCAAATTAAAGTATTCAGAAAAAGATTCTAACTTTCAACCTAATAAAAATGATTAAAAAGACGCTGCAGTTAGAAACAGTAAATGATCTTTATAACAAGATGAATATATGCTAGTTGCGATGAATAGATAATAACTGAGAGTCAGTATCCCTATGAATCAAAAGGTGTAGAACATGTTTGGAACTTTATTTGTTATGAGTTTACGTACAGTTGGACATACCTTTCTGCATTCCCAGTTTTTGTCTGATATACAAGCTGGTGGATTCATAATATAAATACAACTCATTTTCTCCATAACAATCGACATGGCAATCGGTAAATTGAATCGTTTGGCAAGCTAAAAAAATTCAAGAAATGGGTGAAAATTAAATCCTTACAGTTTAACCGACAAAATATATAATAGTAAAGTAGTAGTAGTAGTACACGTTTCATTAGTACTTCAATAACATTATTATGTAAGATTTCCATGAGGCAGTTTTGCAATGGTAAGAAAAAGAAAGGCCGATTTAAATCTGAACAAGTTGATATTGCAAGCCAATCTCTCGTTTCACCTACAACGCAGTCAAAACTTTTGTCCAAATACCACCTGATGGCAAGTCTGCTTACCGTTGGTTTAATGACGAAAGGAATTTGTTTGCACATGGGAAGTGAAATACGCAAGCGGTTTTTGTATATAATGGGATAATTATATTATATAATTAAATGATAAAAGATTCAGACTTACCGGTTAGTGGTTATAATTCATTTGTTTTAACCACTAAGCCATTGACCAATAGCCTAAAGAAGTAATTCTCAAGTGGTAATGGGAAGTTCAGACGCTGCTTCACCTACTTTTGTGCTGGTGTCACATAGTATCCCTAGGTCTTACTTTAAGCATGTATCGAAGTCTAACACACAAACTGAGGCTTATTTGCCAAGATTATAATACCTTTTAGTTTTGATCCATCGTACTAAAAAATAATGCGGGGATCTTTGCAAATCATTCGATGTATCGTCGTTAACAGTTATTATTTCTGTGAAAGGAAATTTGTTGTTGTGGAACGAACAGCATCTTTTAAATGCTATTGATAAAATATTTCAGAAATCATACTAAAAACGGTTATTTACACAGGTTAATACACAACTTTCACAATATAAATCTGAAGAACACGTTAATATCGTCACAAATGCGCGTAAAAGTGAGTTAAAGCAACCACCTGTTTGTTATATGATGTAGGCATACAATTATTTAGTGACTAATTTGAATAGTTCATTCACTACTAACTACACGTGCTAAGATTCATTTACCTGATTGGATTTAAAATACTACTTATGAATTGGCATATTTCTTTAAGCAAATTGTCATTAGTAGATTTTCACACCTAACAGTATGAACATAATGTAGAAGGCTATTATTGCTTCATGCACCAACAACAGTGATTAAAGTGGGAACCATGACTGATAAATATTGTCGAGCAGTGAAGACAGCAAATGGAACTTTATAAAATGAATAAACTGAAACCAATATGCTCACTAGAAAAACCACAGAACAAATTACTGATATTTAAGAAGAGATACTCTTTTTAGTAAGCTTTATGATCAGATAATTGTTCTTTGAGTCAAAAATATGGAAAGAAGTTGTTATGTCATGTACTAAGTAAACTAAACGCTACAGTGCGTCAACCTGATTAGTGGTCAGTAACAGAAAAAGAATTTTACTTATTTATGTGAAACACTGAGCTCCTGTAAAGTCTGGAAAGGTGGACATATACTACAATAGATGTAGGACAACACAAAATATAGTAAATATGTCCTCATCATGGGTAAACACATACTTACCTGTTCATTTCATTATCCAACTCATAAGTTATAGGCATCGAAAATAACAATGCGACCTCAGTCTACTAAATAGAATTCATAGTCGATATGAAGATGATAGAGGTAAATGCAAGTACAAACGACTTGGGTACGGTAAGTATGAAAACGGTTATCAGCAAAACAGTGCTGCAATGCAATTAGCTACACAGGTTTTTGTAAACAAAAGTGAGAGGACGAAAAGCGAATGTCAAGCGCTTTAACCGGGTTGGTGGACAAGACGAGTCCACCTAGGGGAGTTAGAAAACCCTGATTCCAAACCAATGGTGCACATAGGCTCCAGGATCCTGAAGGAACGAATGGCGTATGAACCAACTGTTGGTCACCGGCTACCATGTGACTGCATCTCCTTACGATGCTCCATTGCCTTGTGAACTAGACCTTTAGGTCAAAGGCTCCGGGTGTGGCCCCATAAGAAAACCACCTGCTTCAGTCTGGGCACCTGGGCAGTATCACAGCCCTCACACAAATCGAATGAGATTTGTGAGGCGCATATTTATCTGGTGCTTCCTTGTACAAATATTTATGTGTTTAAATAAATAAAACAAAATGCAAAACTGAAAACAGTTTTTCGGTTGGGACCATAAAATGCAGGTTTAAGTATGAAGTTTTGGAATAAAATACGGCGAACTTAATGTAATTTGTATTATCTACACTTTATTCACAGTCTATCAATATGGACCTGAGGAGGTTTGCGGGGTTTGTATATGACTTTTGTGATAACAAATTTATTGTAATTAAAATAAACATTAACAGTTCATGAAGTATCTTATAAGTTTTCAGTGTTTCCAACTAAGCGAAGAAACGATGTACAAGTTACGGAATTTTAAACCAATAAACTTACAACTTCAATTACAAAACGTCCAGATAAAGTAGAATACAAGTAACACTGTGGAACTTACGAACTCGTTTTTTAGGCACAGTGGAACCACAAACGTTATCATCTGAGTAGTTTTCTACTCCAATTGTTGAATCTTTATTTTCAGAACGAGAAGACTGAGAATTTTCAGCAACCGACTCGCTTGTTTTTATAGTATCTGCGTACTGAAGAGTTGGAGCGCTAACAACAGAATGAAGTGGTGTGCTGACGTCTATTCTTGTGAACAAACTGCTACTTGAGTACAAAGGTTTATCCCAAATAACATTTCGATTTTTTCTAGTGTACCAAGTGATGTACTCCGCTTCTAAACGTTCAGTCATTAACTCATCATCAAAAGGTTCAAGGGTACCACCATAGCCTTCGCGAAACCAAGTACCTCGCAAAATACGTGTGGGACACCTTTCAACTGAAGGAAAATCAAAAAACAGTACGCATACCTAATGATAATAATCAGTTACTGAAATCACTAAAATTTCGGTAAAATTGATTTTAGTGAACACTGAAAAACTCAGTTCTTAAATAAAGATCTCATGTTTGTAATTCAAGACAAGGGATTTGAAATCTTATCTTCCATACCGATAATATATGCAATTACTGCTTAACAATTTTACTCACTGTGAGAACATACATCCAGTTATCTAAGATGAAAAATAGATTGATCTTATAATACTACTGAACGATAAGCGGGTCTAATCCTCAGTAAATACATGTCAACCAACACGCTTAAAATACATGGAAATGAATGTGTATCCACTACCTGATTTAAAATCTTGGCGATTTCGCTCTAGAAAAACGAGATATTAAAAAAACCAAAAAATTTGCTTTAGGAGTATTACAAACAACTAGAAGTGTGAGTACATCACATTTAACTGAAACATTCAAAATTAACAGCTTTAACTGACTATACTCCGTCTGTATTGTATCTATGAATGGTATTGAGTCCCATTAGACAATAAAGGAACGGACATTCAGAATGGCAAATTAGAGAACGAAAGAGGATCACATAGTAGACTTAAACAGATATAAATGACACAAGAATACTTTGTAGCTTAAACGAACTTTACCTGGCCAGTAAGTAGGAACACAACATCGCCCATCTATATCTGCTTCATAAAGTCCACCTCTTACAGATACTTTGTGATTGACAGAAGGGTGTTCTGAGTTGCATATTTTAGAACCAGTTTGATCAAACAGACAATCGCTTTTATCACAGACAAGACGGCTTCGATAATTCAACTCCAAATTGATAGAATCATAACCATTGAACGGTATCCAACGTTTGTTAGTGGAGTCGCGATAAAACCAACGAACCTGAGTTGAAAAATTTAAAGTATTTTAGAGAACTACTTGTTCGACTTTAAGTACAGGGTTATCACTCATGTGCACATTAATGGAGTTTGTGGACGATGAACAACTAGGATTTGAAGTGGGGCTAACAGAATCACAAAACATATGCCAACAAATCTATCGAAGGAGTAATTCAATCGAGAAGATCAGATTATAATTTCCGTCTGCGCAACCTCCGACGAATAAAAATAACAGTTAGCGCTGACAATTTGTTCTGCGCGCTAAGCAATCTCTAATATCATTGGTTTAATTCATCGCACCAAACAGTTTCTATTTCAATGGCTTGGTGTGTTACTAGTGGAGCTTCTGTTTAAAAATTTTGGCGACGAGGAAAACGTTCTGAGTAAATGATCGTGCTATACTTTGACTGTAAGCTTGCGGCTTAAAGTTTGATGTTATATAGTAATTCTATTGTGTATGAAATAAAAGAAGCTTCCCAGTTATGAGCATTCATATGTGACAGGACTGCGTTTGTGATGCCTCATCGTAATGACAGTCACACGAAACAAGGAAATCTGAAATAAATATTGATGAATTCACATGCCGTTCTGAGCTTTTATGAATATATTTAGTTTCCTATTAAAAACTTAGGGGATCTGTTTGGTACACTTCAACTGGTGAAGAATTTTAATATTTGAAGAGAAAAAATTACAACCAAACTTTAACCCAAAATGGTGCTTTCAAACCCCTGAATGTCCCCCCTAAAATTTGTCTTGGAATTGGATCTAAAATAGTGTAAGAGTGTTACGGATATTCCGGGCTTGATAATAAATTTACACGTCACAAACTCATGATCTTCGGATCCCAAACCCCGTGAAAATAGAAGTGAATAGTGAATGAGTTCGGGGGAGCATTCGAATTGTTATATGTATGTCAGACGTGTGGCCTAAGATGGCTAGTCGTTACGTACCCAATGATAATCTGGTGACAACGTATAGCCGAAAGCCTTCATTTAGAATGTATACAGAAAAGCTATTATAGCTAGAAACAATGTAGAAAACCTAAAGAACAATTTACTTCAATGATTTATTTGTTGCTGCAAGCGTGTAATGAAATGATTGGTACCATTTTAGTTTCAGTCTTGGAGGCTAGATGACGGACTCTCAATTGATCCAAATTCTTTCCGAATGCGTTGACAGACGGAGTTTCGACCGCGTGTCGACGTAGAAAGTTTCACAAACCAATAATTCTAGAGGAAGGTCGATAGTCAGCCGACAGGTGATTTGTTCTGCGCTTATGAACTTGTAGTGTATTGGTTCTCAACCACACAACCCTTGAAGCCAAACATATGATAACTGAAAAGACTCACACTCAACATAGATTAGGTAGTCACACAATGGCAAATCTACAAGTTGGGAATAAGTCTATAATTCTAGTAGCATGGATAAACGCACTTATGCCGAACTTGGCTGCATAATGCCACAGACTTTTCCCAAATGTCATCGTGAATTCTCTGTTTTGAAAGACAAGAGAATTAAGGTCGTTTCAGATGTCAATTTATCACCATGTAATCTAAAAACTGATCAAGTCATCTCTAGTACTTCCATATCACTAGGGAAATAGGTTTAGCTCATCCAGCATCCTGTCGTTAGGCAGCCTTGAGATTCCCGGAATCCACATAGTAGCTGTTCTTTGAGCCTTTTTCAACAGATCGCTATCTCTTTTAAGAAGGGATCGGATGGTTGTATGTAATACCCGCGTTTTGAACCAATTTGTTATGGTATTTGTAAGAACTTTTTAATGAATCTTGGTAAGGGGTACCTCGGGTCTTTAGGTTTAGTCTAGGGAACGTGCTATGCTGTAACTTTTATTTATGAATTCCTAATCACCTCAAGGGCAGTTTCTATAAAGTGTCTAAGTTTCACTGTTCTACTTACTGAGGGCAGTGAATGCATTATTTCTTATTCATTTGCCTTCCAAATGTTTGACCTCAGTCGGGCTGATGCACTGTTACTGACAACGATATGTAGATCCAAACCTATAACTGCACCTTCACTCTTAACTAGGGATGGCATTTAATTAAGGCTTGTGGCGGAAGCCTCATAGTGAGTCAACATGAGATCCAGTAAGTTTGATTTCGTAACTGAGTCGTAACTAGTTGTTTTTTTGACATGTTGCACCAATGCACATGTAACAGCCAATCAACTACTTCTTTTTGAAGGGATTTTCTGATGACTGTCCCTAAATTTTTCCACTCTACAGTAAGTGCATTAAAGTCCCCTAAAATCAAGCACTCATCAATTGAAGGCCAAGTGTTGGGTCTGTCTAACATCACAACACAACTAATCAAACCAATCAGTTCTTGTCATTTGTATTTCAAGCGGCAACTTAATAATATGAACTTTCCACTTTTATGGGGTACGTTATCGATAATGGTAATGAGGAGAGCATTTCTAAGGAACAAAGATATTCATTCTCTTTCACTCATCTGGGCTCCGTCAACACTTACTAGTGTGAGATTTTTAAATCCTAATCCCCTAGTGTTTACAGACTAGGTCATTTAAGTTTCTGTGGCCGCTATCATGTCCTTTCTGTTAAGGTCTGTCTGTATAACCAAGTCTTAATGATTGTTGGGTAGGCTCCGAACATCTGTTTGACAGATTCAAACACTATTTAAATGGTTTCATGATGAACCTTAAGTGGCTTTGCCAATATCTTTTGTTGGAGCCTCACCGTCCGAAAATTTGTAATTATTGGTTCTTTTTCGTCAACATCCCCGCCGTTTTATTTCTATTTCCGCTCCTCACTTTCTCATTCTGTCACTCAGCGCAGGTTTTTGAGGACGAAAATTCCTGAGCCATTCGATAGTAGACCATAGCTTGAAAATGACCTACAGATGATATATGAATGGTGTAGTGTCTAGCAGTCAACGATAAATACTTCCAGGTACATTGTGACGCTTATTAATCGCCAAGGTGGAGGTATATAAACAGGGAACAACGTTGATCATCCTGTTGCCCAAACGCACACTGACCAAATGGTCATCGCTTAACAAGACTTGGTTTGTCCAGAAGCTGGAATAGCCTATGTTGGTTTGGCAAAGTACCAGCCACCAGAGATTCCTATAACTTAGAAACATTCGTCATTTTGAGATAAGCCTATTTCATTTCTTTACGGACCCCTCAAAGATTTGCCATTACATCGTACAGAATGTGCAAAGTTCGAATATCGTGAAATAGCGAAATTTCATAAAGTGATCCACCAGAGTCAGTAGATAGTTGAAGTGATCGTTCTCAAACTGTAGAAACCATTCACGAAATGTAAATTCAGTGATCAACTTCACTTCCAGCTGTATGACTGATTAACTGTAGGATTTAACAAGCAAACTCTGTAAACAGAGTTCGCCGAAATTCTGAAAAGCTCCCGTCAAATTGCTAAAGTTCCATTTCTTATTCAGGAATCAGTGCATGAAATTGACTCCCAGGCTACTTCGTTGTCCTAATGCAATTCGTATTCAATTTTTTATCGGGAGGTGTCATATTAGCCGTAATCTCTGTGCTTGTGGTCACATGGGAAACAGTTCAATGAAGAACTGCTAAACAGTTAACAGAGGTGAACTTTACTCTAGTAATTCATGTGCATTTCGTCATTTTATGTTTCAAGTGTGACAAAATCGAACACATCAAGTTGGTGTGCAGAGACACTGTTCATTTCGCGACCAGTGACGATAAGCCTTGTATCGGTGTTATACTTATGGCGGAGTGGATGCCTAGTTGATGTGTGACGCGATAAGACTTGTCAAACAGAGAGCAGTGAATTGTCGATTGGAACAGTGACACGAAACCCGAACGAGCAGACTAACCGGTCCTGCGCTCTGCCTAGCCCAACCAGTTAAGTCCAAAACACCAATAACAGCCTCAGTGGTATGAAACATTATTTACAAACACACTGGGTTTTTATACAAACCAAAGTAATCAATAAACTGATTATAACTCAAGAATCGTATGATAATAAGTCAAAGGTAAAAATAAAACTAATGATAAGAGAAATACGAATATCAATAGTTCAGTTACGTAATAATTGTACAATAGGAAATAGGCATATTACATTGATCCATAAATAGACCTAAAAGTTACCATTTGTAATTCACCGGGGGATATAACAATCGCTAAATAAATCTCCAAAATCAATGGATCTGTAAGTCTGTAGTGGTATTGGTTTTAATCACATAATCCTCAAAGCTGAGCATGAGATAACTGGGAAAATGCACACTTGACGATCAACACGAAACGTAGGTCAACAATCTAGAAAGGTAGAGTAATTAATTAACCGATTCAATCGGGTGGCATGACAGAGCTTCGCAGACGTGGTCATCCTATGTACCCTGTCTTTATTCACTTCGAATATATTGTTCTATGTTTAGCTTAACTGTGTTCTTCAGATGTACTAAGTGTTGTACTGTTAAAGCAGAAGTTGACTTTCACAAGCATGGATTGTCGGACCCACGTGCACAATTCCTCGCTTTAGTAAAGGGACCACCGATCAATATCAATCGGTATATCACACTTGGTGTGTCTACCAGGGATATTTTGAAACCTTGTGAAACTTCAGGAAAGGCTATTCTTAAGCGTGGAGGTACAACCGAACGACGAAGGTTAGACCAATTCCACCACAACATCCAACTACAACATGGCTCAGCAACATTTCTGTTTCTGCGAGTGTGAGAGGTAATCCGTCAACCACCCTTTGATGTGGGCTTATTAAGACAGATTCTTTAGTGTGAGCTTCTTCAGGACTGAACATATAAACTCCACTACTCGAAAAATTTGCATTACCTTCAGAGGTAGGTACATATACTGAAACATAGAAGGCAACGTATTTTGTACCCAAACACAAATCAAAACTGGAAACTACAGACCTACAAATATCAGCCCAGTTATATCACACAATGGAAAAAGGTGATATAAGATCAGCTCTCTCTTCATCTACCTAAGCAAGATCACATAGGCTCGTTACAACACAGATTTATTAAAACAAGGTCTTGCAGCACATGCCTGATAGACTTCTTTAACGAGGTTACTTGTATACGTGACCAAAAGAAACTAGTGGTTATACTATACTTTGATATTAAGAAAGCTTCTGATAAGTTACCTGATAACCTACTTATCAACAGACCTCAGCCAGCTGGAATTCAAACCCTCTGTTGCAATGGATGGGGTCTTTTCCGAAAAATAGATACCAAGTAACCGAAATTAACTCTACAACATCTACATTTCGACCAATAACCGGTGGTGTTGTTCAGGGTAGTATCTTAGGTCGATTGCATTTTACATTCTGCATCGACAATCTATGCAGATGCTTTACACAGGTTAGACCTACCTTTAAGCTGAGGACTTAAAAGTTACCTATAAAACTAACATTTGCGATGCATATATTACTTTGCAAGCAATTCCACATGA